GAACTTGTTTCAACCGTTTTACGAAACAAACTGGATTACCTTCCCCAGGTAAGGATGAAAGATCAGAATTACTTGACTTTGCAGCCAGAAATTCGCTTCTAAACAACCGGAAAATATTTCTTATGTAGTTTAATTGTCCCGAAATAACCGCTGATTGTTAGCGTAGCAGCTAACGTTTTCATACTGTTTTCTAATGAGAGAGAGCTGATGATAAACTGCTGTTAGAGGAGAAGTTAATTAAAAACCAGAGGATTTAGTTAAGAAAGATCAGTCAGGATCAGAGCTGGAGCTGCTGTTCTTCAGTCTGTTTCCCAGCTCAGCTTCACCATGTCGGTATTTAGCTATAAAGATGCTACGAGTCAGAGCCCAACATGCTGAAAATGTCTTTTACACTTTTGGATAATTTCTCTGTTATCCTTGGCTTCAGCCTGTGAACCAGGACGTCTCAGAAGTCATTGAGTTCTCCCAGTGTGACCAGCAGACTGAAGCCTGTGACCAGTGTTCCCAGTATAATAAATAAATGTTTTATTCTTTCACTTTTTGTGTATTTTTAAATATCTCAATCTGAAGTATTAGTGTATTAATACAGCTTATGTAATGAAATAAAGATAATGTATTCTATTAGAATTATTTTCACTCTTTGCTGTCAATAGCAGAGTTGACATACTGTAATAAATATTTATTCTTTGGAAAAAAGTAAGAAAAAGATGTAGTTTAATGTTTGACAATGACTGATTTATAAATCAAAAGTCATTTCTCAATTATGTATAAAAAATAAATACAAGAAAATAATTTTCTTGTCTTGAAACGTTAAATGTACATTAAATCATGGAATTATGTAAATGTGTTCTTTAATAAAACATTGTAAAAGTGTGTCTTCATCAATGTCAATATAAGAATTATCAGAATAATTTCTATCAAAAACATCATGCTCTTTATTCAGAAATGCCCCAAAACAATTAAATAATCACATCAAAAGTTAGAAACTCTGTCTTTAGTTATTTCTTTGATTGCCAAAAATATTCATGTGTGTGAGAAAATGTGTCAATGACAGGCATTAATTTACTTACACTTACTACTACACTTACTATAACTTACTATACTTTGCAAGACGGCACTTTCTGAGGTTTGGTCCATTTACTTGTATTAGCTTACTGCATGCCAATAAACTTGAGAAAGCTGTGAAGAATATATCCACAACTATCAAGGGAAGAAACCACTTAGCTTACTGAGCTAACCACCAGCTACAAAATATGAAGTACACAAACATTGTAATAAAGAATCCTGACTTGGTGTACTAAATTATTTGGAATATTAGAGATAAACATGGTGAAAAATTGTAAATTATATTTTGACATTCTGAAATGTGCCATTACAATTTGTGAAAAAAAAGTATGCTAGATGCAAGTTATGAGATGTTAAATGATACTTGATGTTCAAATTGTGCTTTACTTCTGCATGCTTTTAGTGACCAATATTATTGAGGGACAGATGGTTGTCAGTGCTATGCTCAGTGGTTACTATTTGGTTTCTGTTGCGGTTGCAACATAGTATGTATTTTGTACTGCTGCTGTTGCAGCTTCTATCCACACTAGAACCTATTAGTTGTTTAAAGCTAAAAACACTTCACCATTTTAGATCTCACTGGCTGTTGAAAAAGAAAAGGCTGATTTGTTGGATTTTTCCTGTAGCTGTGCAACTGTTGAAACATTTATGTAACCATGCAGTTGCACTTCTTTACCAGACTGCAGACTTCAACTCCAGCTGCTAACTGTTCCTCCTGCACTGACCTGCACACATGATTTACAAAAATGGCACAGACCAAGAGCACACCCAGGTGAAAAAAAAGTATACTTTAGTATATTTCAAACATACTTAAATTTGTGAAAGTACACTTTAAGTATACTAAGTATTAAGTGTACTACCTATAAGTATATCTGAAGTATACTTGTACCAATTTTGAAATTAGAACTTTAAACACACTTAATTAACCAGGGAAATAAATGGCTTTATGATTAAGTCCAAATGACGATCGGCATTGAACGCACGTAAAACCAAAGCCTACCAGGAACAACAGAACCAGTAGCCTACAATATGGGACAACATAATTACCTTCACTCCCGAGTTTCTCTTCACTTTTCCTACACTCATAACCAGCGTCACTGCGTCAGAATCATCTCGGGATGTCCGCTTCTCTGCAAAGGGCAAAGAGTTTTTTTTATTTTTTTATTTCGTTGTAGTAAATAGCAGGAATCCTGAACACTTCTCCGTCCTTTGACTTAAAAATGATTTGTTTTTCGATTCTTTGTTCACCACTTTTTGAACTGGTTGTACCCATGGATGCTAATGGAGAGAAAAAATGATTAACTAAAGAATTAGAAAGCGTTGAAGAAACAACGGTCTGCTTGCTGCTTGTTTTGGGAAACGATTTTTGTAATGGCCGCTTACTTCCCGTTTGGCCTGGTCATTGTTTCTTGTCAAGAAACAATGTTTCTTGTTGTCAAGACATAATTGTATCAAAATACACTTTTAATATATTAAATAAAAGTATACTTTAAGTGAACAAAATATATATTTGCCCAAGTCTAAATATACACTTGCTCAAGTATATTTAAAATATATTTTGTGTATATTTTAAAATATATGCTCAAAATAGAATTTTTTAAAATTCACTTAACACTACTTTAGATTATTATTTTCAGTATGTTTTAAATTACATTTCAGTGTAAATTTTAGGCTAATAAAGTATGCCTTTTTTAACTTCTTTATTTAACCGGGTGAACCCCGTTGAGATCCAGATCTCATTTTCAAGAGGGACCTGGGCAGAAGTCTGCAACACGCAGCAACCCGATTACAAAATAAAACTAATTAATACATATGCAGAAGTATGTCTTTTAGTGCGTTTAATGTAATATGTAGGCATACTTTTTAAGTATCTAAAAAGTATGAATTTTTAAGTGCCTTAATAATCTTTTAATTATTAAAATTACATACAATAAAAAATTATAATCATGATGTAATGTTTAAAAAAGTACCCAATCCATTTTCAGATGTGTGATGTAAAACCTTATAATCAACGGCATTAGCGCCAGTTTGCACTCCAGACCAGATGGTGGCGGTATTGCACACTTTCATTTATATAAAAAACGCCACAAAGAGAAGAAAAAACTTGAATGCAGGGAAGATAACAGACGCTGTTCAAATTCGCCATTTTTACTTGCATAATATTGCCTTAAAAGTAGAGAGGGCTTTGACAATAGTTACTAATTTTGGTAAATTCAAGCTGGTGACGTCCTAATCCGAGCAAGGGTTCGCTGTAAATGTAGTGTTTACTTAATTTTTTTCTACAGCAGAAGTTTTGTCAAATAAGCAAAACAGGCTTCATTTCATAAGGTTGTAAAAACTTTTTAATAAAAATGTGTGGGGAAAAAAACAGTCCATGCATCCTCAGTCCAAACACATTCACTTAAATTTTCACTTTATGGTACATGTTCACATTCTTTATTGACTGTATATCAAATATATTTTAAATTTAACTGAAGACATGACATAATACAATATATAATATTCAATAAAATACGAAGACTTAAATCTTATTGTATAGACTAGGTCATCAAATCACTACGTTGCCTGTAGGAATTTCTAATGTCCAGCAGGTGTCAGTATTGAGTGACACAGTATCAACACAGAATCGACACAGTTTTGCTATGTGTCGAAATGAAACATGACGCCTCATCTACCCATCACTACCGACCACCATGGCGTTGTAAGACGCCAGCCAGCCAGGCACGCCTGACGGCCACACCCGAACCCAAAAAAAAAAACCTTTTAGTTTAGTCTGCCACACAGACTAAACTAAAAGCAAAAGCTGGCTCCACAGGGGTGGATCATGTTCAAATTCTAACTTCAGGACCCATCCTGCATTTCCTCTTTTTTTTGTCTCTCATTTGTTTCTTGTGTAATAACTGTGGGTAGGGTTATTACACAAATTCTTTAGAAAAAAGAAAGAAATATAGCTGAAAGCAATCATTGCGTGCTTTGCAGAGAGGTAACTAAATTGTTGCATTTATATACAATGCATTTATATATATGTGGAGCTAATGAAAGAAAAAATCTGTGTGGATTTTTAGTCATCTACAATCTGTATAAACTTGTAAACTCCCTGCATGTTGCCAAGATCAACAGCGGATAAGGAGGAGAACAGATGAAGATAACTGAACGACGTCTTCTCAGAGATTGTTAGAAAATATTTGAGAAAGTTACAGCAAGTAACAAAGTTTAATACTATAGAACACAGGTGTCAAACTCCAGTCCTCACGGGCCGCTGTCCTGCAACTTTTAGATGTGCCTCTGCTGCACCACACTTGAATAGAATAATTAGGTCATTAGCAGGACTCTGGAGAACTGATCTATACAAGGAGGAGGTAATTAAGCCATTTCATTCCAGTGTTTTGTACCTGTGGCACATCTAAAAACTGCAGGACAGCAGCCCTGGAGGACTGGAGTTTGACACCCCTGCTATAGAAAGATGACTTTGTGTAGTTCACGTTTAGTTCTTCAGCTGTGACACTTCCTCATTTAAGAAACACTCTACACAAAGTATTGTCAGTATTACCTTACAGGTACAAAAACAGGACAGTTAAAAAAAGATGTTCCTTCATATGTATGATGAGATTATTTCATCAGAGAAGGTGTAGTAAAACATCCTTCATCTAAATCATTTTCCTAATCCTCTGACAAATCCAAGCTACCTTGAAGAGAAGAATAACATAGGAAGTTTCCTCCCACCTCAGACTCTGCTGTCAATGATTATAAAGGAGGCAATCACTGGACAAGAGGAGCCAGACTCACTTTCTTTGTAATACGTTGCACTCGAGACTTTAAGCTATGGGCTGCAGCAATTCAACTCCAATAGAAACCCAGAAAGAGAAAACAACCGTTTTTCTCTCCAAGGAAAAAATCTTCAGGATCCCTGCTCTCATATTTGTTGGGAATGAAACTCTGTTGGCCTTTGCAGAGAAACGAAAATCTAAAGACGATTCCAGCAGCGAGTCTCTTGTCATGAAGACAGGAAAACTGACCAAAGCTGGCAACTCTGTGGAAGTTGAGGTAAATATTAGCATTTATTCTTCAATTTTTTTAGTGATCCATGTTTTTTTGCATCACTGTTGCAAAAACAAACAAAAAAAAATACATAAGTTCAATCAAATTGTTAAGTGTTGACATTTACTTTAATTGTTCCTGTTTAAGTGGTCAGATTCTAAAGAAGTCGTGAAGAAGGAAGATCTCGGTGGACACCGCCCTATGAACCCGTGCCCGATCTACGCAAAGGAAAGAAACACAATTTACCTGTTTTTCATCGGGGTTAAAGGAACCACTTCAGAAAGACATCAGATATTTTGGGGCATCAACGAGACCCGTCTGTACTACATCACCACCAAGGATGGCGGCGAATCCTGGAGCCACCCCATTGATCTGACTGAGACACTTCCTGAAATAAAGAATTGGGCAACATTTGCTGTCGGACCGGGTCATGGTATTCAGACCAAGACTGGCAAACTGATCGTTCCTGCTTATGCTTACCCTTCTTGTTCTAGCAGTTGTACAAGCTGCCGTAGTTGCCTGGCTAATTTGTTTTGTTGCTGTGATTCCTTGTGTTGTACAAAGTGCTGTCCTCCTCCCCATGCGCTCATTATTTATAGTGACAATGAGGAGAAATTCAAATGTGGAAACATGCTAGAAAAAACATCACTAGAATGTGAAATAGCTAAGACGAATGACCAAGGCGAGATGTTGTACTGCAACGCTCGAAGTCAGGGAAACATTCGGGTGGAAGCGTTCCTGGATGATAGTGGGAAGGTTATCAGAGAAGTTAAGTCTAAGCTTGTGGAAACAAAGTCAGGCTGTCAGGGCAGTGTGGTCTCCTTCCCAGCTCAACCTGAGGAAGATGGCTCAAATCAGGGAACTCTGTGGCTGCTTTACTCCCATCCGACATGTAGATGCGAAAGAGAGGACTTAGGGGTGTATCTAAACAAATCCCCAACAGATCCAAGTGCATGGAGCCAACCCCGGGTCATTAACCAGGGACCCAGTGGTTATTCTGACCTGGCTTACATACAGAATGGCTGGTTTGCATGTCTGATGGAGCGTGGGGAGAAAACTTATATTGAAGAGATAGCATGTTTACTATTCAGCTGTGATGACCTCTAGAAAGGGATCACAGGGTAAATGTGACTTCAAAAAAATGTGTATGAAGGGATGTTGAACCAAACAGATAGCCTGCTCATTTTTAACCTATGAAGAAGTCCAGCAGACCATTCCAAAGTAAAGATCCATTCTGTTAACGTGACACATCATCCTCTTCAAATTCCTTCTCATTCAGTTCATGTAAAACTGCAGCACTGATGTGTTTTTGAGCATAAAACAAACACAGTTATTCACTTTTGCATTCTCGCTTTAAATTCGAATTATTACTGATATGAATGATGCGATGATTTGCAGTATTTAGTGTGTAAAATTGATTCATAGTGCATTTGAGTTACATTGCATTTCAGTGTATAGACCTCTGACTTGTTAATAAAACCCTTGTATAAGTTTTTTCTTGTGTTTTTATTGATCAAAAAGTCAGTCTGTACCTGTCTGCATCTCTGTCGTCCGGATTTAAAGCAACCTTCATTTCACTCTTATGAGCTTCTCATACACATTCTCATGTAAAACAGCAAAGAAATATTTCAATCTCCAGGTTTCATGAGCGTGTCAGGAATGTTTCTGCTAGCAGATACATAAAATGTGAAAACTGCTCGACTCCCTGATGGTTCGGCTTTTGGTCTTATGAAATTCCATGGCATGAAAAACTAAAGTCACATTGCTTGTTACTGATCTGTTCTTCTGTTTCCTTCGCATCAGTGCACACCATGAACTTTTAAACGAGGTAGCCAGAGGGCTACTGGGTGGCAACTGGAAAAGCGTGTGCACACCATGGACAGAGGTTGACCTTGATTTCAGTTCCCGGTTTCTTCCCCCTCTATACTGTCTTAAGTGCTGGACAAGAAAGGCTGACAGAGTCTCAAGGACTAAGGCCTCCATATATTGGTTGTGCTTAATCCCTGCGCCACCACAGCACACTCCACAAATAATTCTTATTGTGCCAAGAAGACAAATCCATCTCTACTTTAGCCCAAGGTGTGTAGGCTACGTCACATGGATGCAATGTCTCTTTTAATTGCTTGAGTTCTACTGACCTGCATTTGTCGCATTTGGCAATTAAAGTCTTTATCTGCTCCCTCACCCTTGCCAGTATTTACAATCATGTGATCTTCTGAGGCAACCTTCCATTCCTGAATGTGATGACTGTACATGGCAGATTAGGTCAGTCAGAAATCACTGCTCTTTCCCTCTTAAATGCTGTGCAATCCACAAATCTAATGGGGTTATAGTCCAATGGTGCAGCTGTCTGCAGTTTAGGGACCCATCCTGCATTTTTTCTTCCATTTCTACTGAATATCAATATTGTATAACATGTAGTTCAGTTTTATTTTAAACTGTTATGTTATTATGTTGTAAATTATGGCTTAATTGGAAGCATTGACAACTTATAACTTTGAGATATTATAGTAGGCGCAAATGATGTGACTTAGAATAGCACTGGAAATATCCTTTAATGTTCCAGGGAAATTTCTGAAAATGTTCTTTGCTTAACAACCAGATCATCTTGTGTAAAATCTGCAAAACATAAAAAATGACTGGATGGACATTTCCA